AGGAAGGTGGGTTTCAACACCTACTTCTGTACAGAGGAGAAGAAAATGATAACCAGAAGAAACAAATCATGGCATGCCAAAGTCATGGGTGAGGAAAATGCAGTCAGCAAGTAGGCCATAGCATGAAGCTTGCAATGACTCCTTTATTTTTGTACAGTATGGCATATGATTTTGATCACGTCTTGGGTCTGATTATGGTATTGAAAAATATTTTTTTTCGTATCTTATCTCCTTTAATTTAATAAAAACATGACAAGTATAAAGTTTTTTATTTTATTATTCTCTCATTTTTTTAGTAAATCATGAGAAAATCATTCAAATCAAACTCCAAAGAATAACATAAATAGTAACATAGACGAGTTGTAAATTTAGACGCCGTAAGTTCGAATCTTAATAATTATTTGGCCATGAGAGAGAAAATCTTTTATGAATATCTTAGTTCCGACATAGATATTATGTCTTTGACCGAATTGGAGAGAGAATTAATTGAGGTATTCGTAAGCTGATCTAAACACCTCTTACCGTTGAAAAAAAAGAAGTTATAGATGAATTTCGGTTAGATAGCATAGCCTCATCTTCATTTCCCATTAATCCTCTTATCTAATGGCATACAGCTGCACTACACCATGAAAGATTGAGCCTCAAATTTTGCCAACTCTTCTAAGGATTTTTCTTCATAACAAGCACAAAACACACCCTCTAGGCATAGCTGTAATGGAGTACATATCCTTTGAGGAAAGACCATGAATTGATGGCTAACCAAATATAATATTGATGAATGGTTAAAAAGAATTGATAGGTTAACCAAACGTATTTGAAAAAAGGTTAAAAGAATTGATAGCCAACCTACTATTGTGNATGAATTGATGGCTAACCAAATATAATATTGATGAATGGTTAAAAAGAATTGATAGGCTAACCAAACGTATTTGAAAAAAGGTTAAAAGAATTGATAGCCAACCTACTATTGTGTTTTTTAAACAAGATTTTATTTCAACCAACTTTGCATCATCATACTAGAATAAAAAAGATAACTTATTGCTCAAAGCTTCTACAATTGCACGGAATGTTTATCCGAGAGCGAGAAGAACTGATTAAACTGTTGTCGACCAATTCTGAAATTTGTGATTTAAGAGATGTTATATGTACACAACTTTATTCCACATAAAAAAAATTTATTTATTCATCATTATCTCATCTTTTAACTTAGNTTAAAGCTTCTACAATTGCACGGAATGTTTATCCGAGAGCGAGAAGAACTGATCAAACTGTTGTCGACCAACTCTGAAATTTGTGATTTAAGAGATGTTATATGTACACAACTTTATTCCACATAAAAAAAATTTATTTATTCATCATTATCTCATCTTTTAACTTAGAAACAAATTACACACTAAAAGTATGGACATTGCATGTGGGCACAGGCTTTTCTCTGGGTCCTATCTCCAATTCTTTTCTTGTCAATTTTTGAAATTTCCACCCTAATTATACTCACTTTTGTGAACATGTATATCCATTCCCTTGAACAAGATGATTGCATCTACATCAATCATTGTACACACAAAGGAGCAAACTTTATGGATAACTGACTTACAAAATAAAACTGGGACTCTTCAAGNAATTTTGAAATTTCCACCCTAATTATACTCACTTTTGTGAACATGTATATCCATTCCCTTGAACAAGATGATTGCATCTATATCAATCATTGTACACACAAAGGAGCAAACTTTATGGATAACTGACTTACAAAATAAAACTGGGACTCTTCAAGCACATGCCTTGTTCTTTGTTTTACTGCAATTTCTTTGAGAATAGTTTTTTTTTTTAAATAAAGTCCATTTGGTGTAAAAGATTTTTGTCACTGTGAGATATGAGATGTACAAATTTATGTAGATTAACTCCATGTAATTTTTTTTTGGTTCAATAGTTAGGAACATTCGAGCCAGTTTAAGCGCACCTTGACTAATTCCCTCTCTGATCTGGTCAAATGAAAGTTATTCATGCTGGGACTACAATATTCGTGAGGGATAAATTAATCCCTTANAATTTAAACGCACCTCGACTAATTCCCTCTCCGATCTGGTTAAATGAAGGTTATTCATGCTGGGACTACAATATTCGTGAAGGATAAATTAATCCCTTATGATCTGATCTCAAATAATTGTCAAAATTCAAATTTAGAACGACTGAAAACTTGCGCCATGCACGTAAATTAACTCCGTGCATGAAAGGGTAATTTTTGTGACTCTAACTCGTGTCATGCATCTAGATTATTATAAAACAACCTTATTTCTACACCAATATCCGTTCTCAAAATAAATTAAAAAATTATGCCAATAGCCCATATTCTTACACAAAATACACCATGGAACCTCATCTTTTTATTGGCGATTAATTGAGATTTGTAGCTAATTCAAATTCTCGAATGTCGATAATAGTTTTAGAATTCACCATTATCAATGGTGGATAAACATTTGACATGCCAAAACTATTGCAAAACTCTTATATCCCTAGCTTTGGCATAAATATATGCACTCATTTCTTGTTTCTTAGGGACAAAATACTATCCATTGGTATGAATTTTAGCTGTATGTTTGATTGAGGAGGAAAACCAATTTGGATGTTTTAAAGTCTTAGCCAAAATTCACAAAATTAGCTCCACCACTAAAATATAGGGACCAAGATTCGACTCTATCATTTTATCTTAGGTGATCTAATCAAATCTTAATTATACGATTCTTAAGTTATAATAATTATAACGATCCACAAAAATTTATATTTTGTCAAATTTTTAAGTCACAATAATCCGAAAGGCGATTATGTTAAAGTCATACCATTTAATTACTGGATTTTTGATATTTAGAATCTGATTAGGAGGAGATCAAGCACAAACAAATCTTATGACCAATTCAAAATTACTTTTTTTTTTCATTAAATATTGACAGATCATCATCATATTTCACGACCATTTGACTGAATTTATTAGTTCTTTAGGTTTGGATCAATGATATAAATTTGAACAAATTATATACATGACCCTCAAATTATGATCTTTGTATTAATTAAGTCTTTAAATTTTTTTATGTCAATTGAGCACCTGAACTCCCTAATTGTGTCAATTGAACCCTTATGTCCACGCACATGACTATATGGCAGAAAAAGACAAAAGGGCTCAATTGATACAATTAGGGAGTTCAGGAGTTCAATTAACACACAAAATAAAATGTTCAGGGATTTAATTGACACAAGAGTCATAATTTGATAATCATATGTGTAATTTACTCCAATCATTTGTGTCACTTGGGTGACACACTTCACTACTTTCCGGTAGAAAATCTAATGGAGGCAGACAAAAAAGACCAATTGACATAATTGGAGAATTCAGAGACTCAATTGATACCAAAAAAAATAAAATTAAAAACTTAATTGACACAAAAATTTTAATTTGAGGGTTATATATGTAATTTACTCTATAATTTTTTACGTAAAGCATCTGGCAACTTGGCACAGGAATTGACCTAAATCACACAAAACTGTGAATTCTCAGATTGGTTTGGCATTAATTTAGGGAGCCAACTCAACTTCAAAATAGTTTAAGTTATCGGTTGCCAGTTAATTTAATCACCACCGCCTCCATTGTTGTACCTTAAATTCGCAAGTTTGAACACTCTCATCCCCTTTCCTTGTAATAGTTTGCAAGGAAAAAAAAAAAAAAAGAAATAGTTTTTGAAAGCTCATTCGATCTACTTTGTTTTTTAAGTGGGCAAAGTTTCAACTTCCCACACCATTAAGAGTCTTCAAGCACCAGAATTGGTTGAAAATTTTTAAAACAAAAAATCATCCGACACACAATCAATGTAAAAATTGTGGGTAAAAATTTAATCTTAACGGGTTTGTTACATAATGGAGTCAAGTGGTTAGACCCACTTTATAATTAATGGTCATAAATCTAGCCATGCACAACAAAAACTTGATTCACGACGTATAGATTAGATATGACTTGAAAAAATGTCAGAGATTTAGACCAACCTCGAAAAGTTTGCAACATGATGTATGATTTGCAAACTTTTGTGAGAGTCCACAACCAAAAATATTTTACAAGACCGAAGTGATGGTTTAGTTAAGAGCGTCAAAATATAGCATACCTCGTTAATATAATATAAATACGATACAAAATTAAAAGATTTGAATTTTTCTTAAATCACTCATTTAATTAATGAGTAGACATCATACGACACGGTTAATAAACGAATCGGGTATGTATGAAACTAATCAAAAAAAATATACACAACACGACTTGTTTATATACTAGTTATACACAATTCATACTCGACACAGAGTTGATATGACAAAATTCGTTACACACAAATTAAAAAATGAATCGACTATAGGTTAAATATTTTTTAACACGAACTCGTTAAGACGTGACACGATCCTGTCTCACCCGACACGATTGACAGCTCTAAATTGAGTCATATTTCACCATCTCTTCATTAAGAGATTGACTGCCGAATTATACTCTTTCCCAGATTTCTCTATGATTCTGAATCAGAAATGGTGGAAATTTGAAGATTTAACCCCCCAAAAAACACAAATTTGCCGCCTCACCCAAAACACAGAAACATCAGACTGATCATATCTGGGAAGATTTTATCAAACCGTCAGACTCATCACTCAAGAATGGGAGCAAACATTTAGTGTCTCTGTTATTCCCAATTCTCGCAGATCAACCTCTACCAGTCGTAAGACGTCATCGCACAAAAGAGTTCCACTGAATTGTTGTTTCTAATCTTTACAACTTGTCTATAATCACTACAAGCTATATTACAGAACTTTCAACCCCGAGTCATTAAGAAGAAAATAACAAAGAGAAAACCAAAAGGAACATGAAAAAAAAAAGATACCAAACGAACAGACCCCCTTAAAGTACTGGTTAGCCCATAGTCATAGGTAGTGCCTCCAAGCAGAAGTCATGAGCAAAAGCTACGTGAGGAATATTAACATCTAGATGGCACAAAGGAATGATTGTGAAGAACGTTGGAATAGAAGTTCCAATCCGGGCTTCTTTCATCTATGGCACGTTCACCAAATGGATGTTGCTCTACATACTTTGGTATATTTTCAGTGGTCGCCAAACCTTCCAGATAAACTTGAAGATCACCTCCTGGACCTGCGGTGAAGTACATTTAATTCTGTAACTTATTTGCCACATCTAGTAACACACAAGAAGAAAGAATGTCTAGGGTAGTAACACAATGCAGGCTCTAGTATTGGTTTGCAAAGGGGTAGACCATTTCAGTTGGTGAATTAGTATAGTTATTCTTCATCGTTTCTATTATTTTTTGTAGTTAGGCAGTATAACAGATGAACCTTAGAGGGCATGCTAGTGAAAGGCTCAATCTGGGCAATGCAACTAATTCGATATCTCCAAAATGGTGCAACTCCTGGCTATCCATTTAGTGATTCTAATTTTACATCACAGTTCAACCATAATAAAAGCCAAAGTTATTTAGGTAAAGGTAAACTAAGTGGTCCAACTTTGACCTATTTAATAGCCTTAACCATCGGCAAGGTCTGCATACAAACTGGTGAAAACAGTTTTTAGTACAAGCATTTGAGACAGTTACTATTCCTGAGAAATAGCAGGAAGAATATAACAAAACAAAGAAAATAATAAGAAATCATATTAGAAGATACCTCACCTAATGAATTATCGCTCCTTTCCTCAAAACTGTACGAGGAAGGGAAGATTGCAGTGTGCTTCTGATCATGTACAATTTAAAAAAGATATTGAGTTGAGGTATGAATCAAAAGGAAAATAGAATAAAACAAAAGATGAAAGGCCTCATTGGATTAAATCCAAAAAGATGATGAGCTTACAGGATTAAGCAAGGCCTTGTATGGAGAATCGTCCAACAATAAAGTGTTTGATTCATTGTAATCTCCATTCTTCCAAGGAAGATTAGTATCATGTGTTTCCCAAAGTTTCCTCAGCTCCTTAAAGACCAAGGGTTTGTAAGAGTTTTCAAGCGTATTGGACCCACTTTCAGTGCAATGAGATGAATCCTGCAAAATTGAATACAAATCCAGATCACATGTCGCCCCATTTTCACTAAACTCAAGGGAAAAAAAATCACAATAGCTTAACAGATACTATAAACAGTTGATGACAGTGAGACCATCCCCGGCCCCCCAACAAAACCCAAAAGAATAGAACATTTAATTTGGCGCAGTTAAATCAATTGTAGTCTTCTACTTCAATCGTATCCTCCTTCTTCTTCTCCCAATTGACCCCCTCCTTTGAAATTTCTGACTCCACCCCTAAGTGGCACAGACAAATATCTAGAGGATGATCATCCGACAATGCTTGCAGTAATTTTCATTATGTGCAGCATCCATTTCTGAGACCAAGGAAAAGTTGGAAGACCTATTTCCCATGTCGGTCACATGGTTCCATAACATGCAAACTCCTTTCAACTATACAATAAAACCTACAAGCAGCAAAATACAGCTACAATGGAGTGACTTTTGCTGATCCAGCTGGCTTCTCTGCCATAGATATCTAGTTCACGATGGCTGAGCTGTGAATCAGATTATTACAATAGTCTATTATATGGATGTCCCGCGCCCCCCCCCCCCCCCCCCCCCCACCACCAAAAAA